ACATAATTATAAGTAGCTCACAGTGTGTAGGAGTAAGGTATTGTTTTCTTTGTAAATTACTCACACATAAATTTAAAGTGTTACAGTTCTGTAAAGGATTTAATTCTTTATATGAGTGTTTTAATAAGATCAAAACCTTGTTGTTTTTTCTCACACCAACTCAATGTCTTTTTTTTCTGAATCAATCAGAGATTATCCTTGGCAGATGACAAAGAAAACATTTACATGACCTTGTTTTTACAACAATAAATGACATTCTTACATTAAAGAAAAACAATCATATATTGGTATTTATTTTGTTGTTTAAACCCATCCTTTTTTATAGTTTATAAGATATAGAGATAAAATATCACAAATTGTGTATGAAGCCTTTTTCATTAGCCCCTTATTGAAGCCATAGAAATGTTACTACAATGGGAACTGATTAAAAAAAGGGGGGACTGAGGATAGATTATTTTTAAAATAAAAATAAAAATGAGAAGAGTTGCCTTTTAGACTACAAAATTGTTGATTCAACTAATTTTAATTTCATTATTTGCCAAAAGTAAAAAAAAAAACAAGAAAATCATGATACTGCTAAACAAGTGAATCATCTCCCTTTTGTATATTATGTTATCTCTGAACATGCTGAAAATCCTTAAATAAAACCTGGGACATAATATATTGCTAGTATACTATTCCCAGATAAAACAAAAGAGAGGTTTAAGAAATTGTCATGTCTCCATGATGGTATGTTTTAACATTTATAAATCCAGCAGTTGGGTCTTAATAATTCTTCTTTCAAGATTATTATATTAAGAGAAAATCAAACGGTGACGTTCTCTTGTCACCATCTTATGGTGTTTATATATCTCAACTTGTACGATTCGCTCGTATATGTAACAACGTATTAGATTTTAGCGAGAGAAATTTATGTATTACTGAAAAATTATTACACTAGGGTTTTCGATATCATAAACTAGTCAAAACATTTACTAAATTTTATCATCGGTATAAGGACATCATTCGTAAATATAACTCAACATGCAGACATCTTATACGTTCGGGTATTTCACATCCAATCTTTTATGATAATATTCTTTACAAAGCACAATAATGTTAGTATTCACCTCAAAAGCTAACAAAACCTTTAAACAGACTAATTAAGAAGTGATATAGTTACGATACTGTTGTCAGGTCATTAAAGATTGCATATTTTGGCTTTAATATTGATTCACTTATAGGGTCTTTGCATCGGAATTAAATATATTTATTCTAAAACCAGTTGTTGGCATGACACGGGTTATGTTCTTCTCATATATTTTATGATGGTATAATACTAAACCCCTAACAGGAGGGATTGTGCCTGATATTCATATGATGAAGACATAATCTTTCAATCAGTTTAATTGTGGTCTGGAGCTGGCATGTCAGTAACTGCTAGTAGTCTGTTGTAATTTATGTATTATTGTCATTTTGATTATTTTCTTTTGTTTCCTTTTCTGACATCGGACTCAGACTTCTCTTAAACTGAGTTTTACTGTGCGTACTGTTGTGCGTTTGTTTTTTCTACATTGGCTAGAGGTATAGGGGGAGGGTTGAGATCTCAAAAAACATGTTTAACCCCGCCGCATTTTTGCGCCTGTCCCAAGTCAAGAGCCTCTGGCCTTTGTTAGTCTTGTATCATTTTTAATTTTAGTTTCTTGTGTATAATTTGGAGTTTAGTATGACGTCCATTATCACTGAACTAGTATACATATTTGTTCAGGTGCCAGCTGAAGGACGCCTCCGGGTGCGGGAGTTTCTCGCTGCATTGAAGACCCATTGGTGGCCTTCGGCTGTTGTCTGCTCTATGGTCGGGTTGTTGTCTCTTTGACACATTCCCCATTTCCATTCTCAATTTTATACACATTTTCTGAGATAAGTAAAATAAATACTAACTACCAAGTCTCGTAGCAGTGGGACCAGACTTATACCGGTACACAATATATATATATATATATATCTAGATTGCCTAACAATGTAATTTTAACACACTATTTAGTATGTAAATATAAGAATGTTTAAAATATTTACAAAATGATGAAAATAAACGCAATATTTCGCTAGACCAATCCTTGGCTAGACTAACTAGCTTTATCAAGCGTGCATCTATCCAGGTGAAGTTCAAGATTTTTACAAAATTGGTAGTTGAAGTTAGCAACGTCCATTGGCCAATATAACAGGATAAAAAGGACGATGCTGTGTACTAAAAATCTTGAACTTCATCCAAATTATGTATTATTTTCAAGGCAGCTAAATTCAAGTGCAACATATACATTGAGCTGCAAAAGTTTCTTATCATCTACATCCGATTTCACTTGGATAGATGCATGCTTGATAAAGCTAGTTAGTCTAGCGAAATATTGCGTTTATTTTCATCTTTTTGTAAATATTTTAAACATTCTTATATTTGCATACTAAATAGTGTGTTAAAATTACATTGTTAGGCAATCTATAATTTTATTTGTGTAATTGAATTAATCTCTGTACTGATTAATCCACACTCCCATAGATCTGTATGTCATGTGCTGCTATTTATAGGCACTTATATATATATATATCTATATGTATCTGCTGGGACCAATAAATGTATACAGCTATGGTTGATGTATTAGTCTCAGCTCATAGCACCCTCTTAACTATGATTCCTTATAACAGTAAACAGCTTTTTGTTTTGTAAAGTAACCATGACATCATGTTTTTATGTTCCATAAAAGGCATCAGACATTAAACTAATTGACAAATCATTAACATTGTATATTTCCAAGTAATTTAAGGTATTGATTTACAAGATCATCTGTCTCTATGCCATCAGACTTCATAACCAATAATGGCCATTGATTTATTGGTTGTTACCAAATAGGCTCAAAAACATACATTTTATTACCCATAAATTGAATTAACAGGTTAACTATAGGTTATGGTGGTAATAATTGGATAGTCAGTGGTTAACTGTAAATAACAAGTTTTTAATTCTCATAATTTTTAATAATTCACCAAAACATCTGTTAGTGATTCAATGATTTATTCTGACATGCTATTCAGTATGCTAACTATTTCCCTTTTATTGACATTTTTATAGTTAACAGTATGTAGAATGAATTATAATCCCATGTACAAGTGATTAACCCCTTATGATTGATGAAGTGTTCCCTCTGGTGTCAGAGCAGGAGCTTCTTACTATTTTGGTTGCAGCATTATTTGGCTTTGTTGTATATATACAGCTGGGACAAATTGTTGTCTATTGGTCCTGTTAGTATAATAGTCCCAGATTGGTCCAAGATTAACATTCAGATGCTGATATTTTCCCAACTAAATCATTTCATCAGATCACATTATTCCAGTTTGCATTTAAGACTAGTAGCTAATAATCAAATTAAAGAACTATAGAAAATAAAGACAATTGAGGTACTTAGAAATTTAACATTATTAGAATCTGATTAAAAATCATTCAACGTGAAAAGAAAAATAACGGAGGTTAAGGGGAGTGTTTGGCGCCATCAAACTAGTTTAACCCCACCACATTCTGTATGTGCCTGTCCCAAGTCAGGAGCCTGTTATTCAGTGGTTGTCATCTAATTTGTTGCTGTATATCATATTTGTTTTTCATTCATTGTTTTGTACATAAATCAGGCCATTAGTTTTCTCGCTTGAATGGTTTTACATTTGTCATTTCCGGGACTTTTATAGCGGACTATGGGTTATGGGTTTTGCTCATTGTTGAAGGCTGTACAGTGACCTACAATTGTTAACTTCTATGTGATTCGGTCTAATTTGCAATCATACCATATCTTCTTCTTTTTTTTATAGATAGAGGACTTCAATTGAAATGTTTATTTATTAACAGTTACCTTTTGTTTAGGCGCTGCACTGACCACTCATACTTTCTTTTTCTTTTTTCTTTTTTGGGGAGGGGCTGTTTTTAAGAAATCATTTAATTCTAAATTACTTGAAAAAAAGATTTGTTTCAATAGGGAAGTTAAAAATAATTTGTTTCCATCGAAAAATTTGCTAGCAAAAATAACATAATAAACATTATAAAAAAAACTCTTGTTCCTGTGTTATTGAAAAAATTGTTTGTCTTTTATTTTTATAAAAATTGAAAAACAATGCCCCCTTCTAAAGGTGATTGCGTACTTATGAGGGTCTGGTAGGGGGTCCTTCATTTCTCTATTCTTTAATATTTTAGGTCATTTTCCCAAATCTCTATTCTTTATATTTTAGCACCCCAATATTCTCTATTCTTTACTCTTTTGCCCTAGTTTTTTTTTGCCCATTATTCTCTATTCTGTTAACCCCATCCAGACCTTCACTAATGTACATTGTTTGAGGTAAATATAAAAAAAAAATGAAAAATGAAAAATTGGGGAGCCATAATGATAGCTTCGTAGTGTGCCGTGACAATATGATGCTTAATCTTTCCAAGGATTTTAATACTAGTAAATTTCTTTGATAATGTGAGAAAAAAAAATTACGTTGATAATTCCAGAGACTTATAATACAATTTTATGTATCTGATTGTTCTAAATTATCAGAAAAAAATAAAACAAATTTATAATATAATTGAAAATTTAGGAATTTTGGTATGAGGCCTATAAGATAGTCCTTAAAATCAGAAAAAAGTCATACATTTGCTCTCATTTACATTGTTTATATCCAAAGTTTTGGGAACTTCGACGTATTTTCTCACATATAGATCGTCTTGTTAATAAATTTGTGAAGGAAACCCCCTTTTGAGTGTGGGAAATGAAAAGATGTTTTGTTCAATGAATTTGATTTATTTTTTCGTAATCTTCAATAAATCACATGATTGTGACAATCACTTATTGATGGCAAATTATTTTCTATATTTTAAACCTTAAAACCGCTATGAAAAATCTTAAGTGAACTTCCTATGGTAATGGTTGATTTGTACTGTGAGTCAACATATGACTGATTTTAAACTCGTCCAACAGGTATGATAATTAGTCTGTACAGGTAAACACAGGTAATCATAATATTGGAATTGACATGTCGACAGTTGATACACAATGATCATGGCGAACGGAAGGGAATTGTATAGTACTGTGATCCCAGAATGGAATAGTGAGCAAATACAACTTAAAAACTTGGTAATGAAATCTGATTTACCTATAGTGGCAAAAGTTGTAAAAGGACAGTTTAATAATTTAGGAGTTTCAAAAATCCCTTTAAGAAAACTGCATCAAGAAGTTTTTGTACATTCGATTAAAACTGGAGTAAAAGTTCTAGCACATAGTGTTCAAAGATATGAAACGAAAGACGGACTGTGTCGCATAGTGCCGTTGGACCAACGACTCTCTATACCTATATCATACAAAGGATGGTTTGAAATACTCTCAGAAGACGGTAGGTCATCCAGGCCCATTGAAAGTGTACAGAAACTTGCCAAAGAATTGCCAAATAAATGCCTAGTTCGCCAAAATGTTAAAGGCTTTGTAGCGAGTAGTGAAGGTAAATTAACTTATGACAATTCAAATATAATACCTGCAGGCGAACAGTTAATATTATCAGGAGAAATTACCACACAGACTTCCTCGGGGGAGCGGTTGAAGTTTTTGAAGTGTACTGATTCGAGAAACAATACATTATTTTTAAGCTTTGATCAAAGAGGATTATTCACGCCTATAGCAGGACCGAATGATGTTGCCGGTGTCTTTACCATTAAAGATATACTCAGTCGATTTAGACTTCCTATGACTGTAAAACTTGTGCAAGGGGTTTGGCCCAAAGTTGACAAAAATCGTTTTACAGGTTTAACACGATTTGATTGGGCATATACCGACGAAACAGCCTTTATGTGCCCCATCGACAAGGGTGAAATTAGGATAACACCCGTTCCAACAGACGTACCCTTCAAACTAGTGACAGCCAAAAACATGTCCAATATTTCTCTGTCAGTGCCTTGTCAAGATATGATAACAAAATGCAACAAAATGGTTGCTAATTATAACAATACAATTCATCTAATTATATCTGTTCCTGAATCTGTGAAGAAAAATCGGACTCACTCTTTAGCGAATATCTTTTCTGGACAAACCAAAACACCTCTAGAAAATAAAAACGGAAATAAACTTAAACGAGCAAGTAGTCGCGAAGATATTCTCAATGAAGAAGTTGATGACCTCTATCAGTATCTCAGGGAAGGAAAACTGCCACCGAAAAGCAAATTTACATATGAATCTGATGAGGAAAGCTACTTTGAGGAGCCGGCTTATGAACCTCTTGATGACTTCCGTTCCCGTCTCGCTATGATAGACAAAGGTAAACCTGGATATAACAATAGTAAATATAAACCAACGACTATGTATGATAGTCGAAACAGTGGATCATCACCAACATACGTACGAATAGAGAGTAAACCTCAAACTGAACGTATCAGGGAGGACTCGCCTCCTCCAGTTCCTCCACCCAGACGGTTCTCTCGCTCAGACTCAGCACCTCAGATAGAAAATCCTCGTCCAACAGACTCATCAAGTGGGTCAAGTTCAAAAGAAATGCATCGTATAGTAAGTGAAGCAACACTACAGAGAAAAACCAAACTGTCTAAACATAAGGATAAATATAAGCCTAAACAACCTCCTCAGCAACAGGAGGATAATAGGAGTTCAAGAACTGGGTCGTCAGGCACCCGACGCCATTCATTAAACACTTTGTATTTATAACGATTATTTATTGGTGTCCACACTTAAAATGGTGCATGCATGTTGAATCCTTTCCAGAGCGAGTTTGTGTGTTGTTTTAAAAGATAACTAGTCAAAAGACCGTGAGAGATTATATTTTATTTAAGTATTATAAGCATCAAAGTCAAAATTTTATCATGTCATGTTTTATTATATTATTACTTAAAGTAACAAAGTTGACTTGTTATTCTTATTTTTCGCTGAAGCTATACAAAGATACAAATATTCAGTTATTTATCATTGTTGTTGAATACAATTTTATTAGATTTGAATTACCATGTGACAAAAGACGACGACGACCACAGTTTAATCAGATTAAATGTTCATAATTGATTGACAATTGATCCGTTTATGGGTGAATAAACCAATTTAATCGACTATATCACTTTAGACCAATATGAAGACAATGTGTTAAGTAGAAAGGCTAGTAGTAAAGACATTTTAAAATAATACACAAGTAAACTGACAAAATATCACTAGGATGTTAGAGAATTAAGGCGATATTTACTGCCAATTTATATCAACTTAAAAACAAAACGAAAAGTCCAAATATCTCAAATACATCTTAACATATTAAAAGTAGTAAGTCATAAACCGAGTAAAGGATACCTGTATACCTTGAACCAAAACTAAAAGACGAGAGAAAAAAAAGAAATGTCCGAATCATACAACAAACTAGAATTTGATTAATAAACCCTTCTTTGAAAAGGACGCATTTTAGATTTGAATGCTTTTTTAATAACCGTATCTTTCAAACTTGGCTCGCATTATGTAAAAATATTCTGTTAGTAAAATATTAGAAAAATAGATTATCGAAAGGTTGTCAATGCATTAGAAAGACACGAGCTATTAGGTTCTATTTGCTTGGTTGTTGAAGAATGAGATTCAATGGTAAATGTTTCATCCTCAACAAAGTCGGGGGAACTTTATGGGTTTTTCTCAGGACCCCCTCAGCGTGCGCATCCTCACCATTTCACAGATATAAATGATCTTAACAATAAAGGTTTTTGTGTGCAGATGCATCTTGGAGTAATAATGTGACGACTAAGTTCCACTTCCTATGTGACGACTATGCAACCCCGGCGCTGATTCCTCCTTCCATCCTATAACTTGATGTAAGAATGCATTTTGTCCAAGGTTATAGTTGTCCTTTTGACATTGTGTCACAGATCAACTTTATTCGTTCAGTTTATGTTTACTTGATTTTGTTAATATGTCTTTTGATTGAGTTAAGCCATTTCAATTGATATTTTACAGTGTGTCTTTCTTTGTTGTAATGTTACACTACTATTTCAGGTTAGGGCGAAGGTTGGCGCCTGTTAAAACGATTAAACCCGCTGCATTTGTTTGCACCTGTCTAAAGTCCGGAACCTTTTTCAGTGGTTGTCGTTTGTTGATGTGGTTCTTAAGTGTTTCTCGTTTCTCGTTTTTTTTTATATATAGATTAAACCGTTGGGTTTCCTGTTTAAATTGTTTTACGTACACTAGTCATTTTGGAGGCCCTTTATAGCTTGCTGTTCGGTATGAGCCAAGGATCCGTGTTAAAGGCCGTACTACACCATGCGAGCCTTATAATGGTTAGTTGTACAGTGTTTAACACCATGCGAGCCTTATATTGGTAAGTTGTATAGTGTTTAACACCATGCGAGCCTTATATTGGTTAGTTGTGCAGTGTTTAACACCATGCGAGCCTTATATTGGTAAGTTTTACAGTGTTTAACACCATGCGAGCCTTATATTGGTAAGTTGTATAGTGTTTAACACCATGCGAGCCTTATATTGGTTAGTTGTGCAGTGTTTAACACCATGCGAGCCTTATATTGGTAAGTTTTACAGTGTTTAACACCATGCGAGCCTTATATTGGTAAGTTTTACAGTGTATAACACCATGTGAGCCTTATATTGGTAAGTTGTACAGTGTGATACATTTTAAGACCTTCATGTATCTATTTACTGTTTGCCGCATACATGTATTTTCCTCTCGTTGATGCATGTATAAGTCCGGGAATCTCGTCGCATTTTTATTAGCAACTACAACTAAATCGTAGCTTCATGATATTTGGTACCAAACTTCATATTCGGAACTTCTGTAACGTATGACACATTTTCAGACACGTCACTTATCTTCTTCCTGGTTGTCGCATACATATGGCGTGCTTCCCTCAAATCTGAAAATGTCATTTTCAGCAAGAAAAATGTCGAAAAATTCCACCTCGCAACACTCAGCTAATTATTAGGACAACGACCCCTTCTGGCTCATTTCCTGTGGCTGTTCTACAAATCGATGTATATTTGGGAAACATTTTTCTCAGCAACTTCAAATTAGAGCAGTTTGTGACTGTCATGTGTTTAAGCTTTTGATTTCGCATTTTATAAAGGACTTCCTTTGGCGTTCGGTATTTTTGTTATTTTACTTTTTGATATTTTGATATTTATCCAATTTGCATAATTAGAGATAAAAATCTATATTCACCCTATCAAATAAACGGTCAAACTATTGTTGTTCTACGTCTTGAAAACTCGAAAGTATTCAGCAATGAAAAAGACTTTATCCTAAATAGCAGGTCGAAGACAGTCTTTAAATCTTGGCGAGTTATAAATGCATCTCAAGTAATTAAGAATCAACTTTTCTTTAGTTTTCGTACTTATAAAGGTCAAGTTTTCCAAATGATTCGCACTGACACAAACGAATATTTTAATATCCCCTCTTCTTGGATCTTTGGACTATCAATATTTATACAAGAAAATTATCGTTCATCCTTAACTTGAATTTACAGGTAATCACGAGTTATAACTATTTTGAAAAGGAAGACTATTTTCTTTTCATTTTAAAGCTCAGTGACTTAACAAAGCAAGTCAGTAGAGTGAGGTTGTGTTCCATGTTATTAATATAATAAATCCATTTAGTAACCAAATAGTCTATTCAGATATTTCGTAGACATATAATGGGTTGAATAAAAGCACCTCTTAAAAAGGATTCGCTTTTGATTTGATTTCCGCTTACTTAATACGATCCCTAATTCTCCGGTTGCTTTGATCTCCTTCCTGTTTTGTAAAAAAAAAAATAGTGAAGCGATATATATTATTTGGAGTTTGTTTTGGAAAAAAATACTTTAGTGAAGTGATACAGTCTTTGAAATTTAACAAATTTATTTAAAATAATTGTATTTGTTATACAATTATCAGAAGATAAGAAATCTCTTCAAATCATAAGCGGCCGAAAACAAGATTCAGAAAGTTTTTTGGTAAACTATAAAGTATTATTTACGCATCCGTGTTTTCCTTATGTAGTTTTATTTACACTAATTTGATAGGAACATGCTTGTCTAGAATCAATGATACTGCACATGTAATTTTGTTTTACAAACGTTTTAAGATTTGTGCAATGATACTCATGTATACATATAACATTATTGATTTCATATATAGTATTTAAAAAAAACAATAGTCTTTTTTGAAATTCTACACGACTTGTGCCTATATGCAATATGTAAAAACAAAATTTACTGACTTATTTATTTTTTTTCTAAAAGGTGAATCAAGAAAACTTTTTTTTTGCGAAAATCATATAAAAAGACTCTTATTGGAAGGCTGAATATAGAATGTCAATGTTATGGGAATAAAAAAAGTTGGGTGGTGGTTGTGTTTCAGTTCGAATAACTTATCCTTTGGAAGGGGTTAAATACAGAGAGGGTAAATTAAAGTTCAAAGGAAAGTCTATTATAGGGTACCGTAGGGTAAATTAAAGTTCAAAGGAAAATCTATAATGAGATTTGATGAGGTAAGATATAATGTTATGGCTGTATAGCAGATAAGTGATTCTGCGTGTATTACTTACAAACCATCAATATAGTGTTATGGCTGTATAGCAGATATGTGATTCTGATAGTATTACTTACAAACCATCAATATAATGTTATGGCTGTATAGCAGATATGTGATTCTGATAGTATATCTTACAAACCATCAATATAATGTTATGGCTGTATAACAGATATGTGATTCTGATAGTATTACTTACAAACCATCAATATAATGTTATGGCTGTATAACAGATATGTGATTCTGATAGTATTACTTACAAACCATGAATATAATGTTATGGCTGTATAACAGATATGTGATTCTGATAGTATTACTTACAAACCATCAATATAATGTTATGGCTGTATAACAGATATGTGATTCTGAAAGTATTACTTACAAACCATGAATATAATGTTATGGCTGTATAGCAGATATGTGATTCTGATAGTATTACTTACAAACCATCAATATAATGTTATGGCTGTATAGCAGATATGTGATTCTGAAAGTATTACTTACAAACCATCAATATAATGTTATGGCTGTATAGCAGATATGTGATTCTGAAAGTATTACTTACAAACCATCAATATAATGTTATGGCTGTATAGCAGATATGTGATTCTGATAGTATTACTTACAAACCATCAATATAATGTTATGGCTGTATAGCAGATATGTGATTCTGAAAGTATTACTTACAAACCATCAATATAATGTTATGGCTGTATAGCAGATATGTGATTCTGATAGTATTACTTACAAACCATCAATATGCGACATGAAAGAGAAATTAGGTTACAGTGCATTACATGGTAGATTACTTAATCAATATATAAACTGTGCTAAAAGTTATTCAGAGTATCTAGGATGAAATTTTTCTTGGCCATACAAAAACACAATGTGATTGTTATATTTAAAAATTATTTTGGCATTGCGCAAGGTCATACGTTTCTCAGACTGTTTATGACGTCTTTACATTGAATCTGTTGGATATGTACTGATTGGTACTTTAGTATGGGAGAACATGATTTATCTATTAGTTGTAATTGGCTTTGAACTAGCTTTCAGTAACTGCGAGTACTCTTATTTCGGTGCTTTGTGTCTGATTTATGTTAGTAATTTTTGTGCCTTGTACCGATTTTTTTTACAATTTGTTCTTGTTTTGTGCTGTTTTACCACTGTCCCAGATTAGGGGAGATTTGAGCGCTCACATACATGCTTAACACCGCTGCATTCTTTATGTGCCTTTCCCAAGTCAGGAGCCTGCAATTCAGTGATTTTCCTTGGTTCTTGTCTGTCATATTTTTATTTTGTAAATTGTTTTGTGATAAGAACGGTCGTTAGTTTTCTCATAAGAATCACATTTTTCC